TATTAACGAGTTAACTGTATCATGAAGCTTTATTGGTGGGGAACTTGATAAAAATCTAAATCGTAGATGGCATATAATCCTTTAGTGTTATTCTCTGTAGCAATGTGAATAGGAAAATAGACAGATATTCCCTTGGAGTTGAAACCAACCATGAGATGATGTAAATGGACAGCAAAATGATCCCTCAGCAAAAAGCCTTTACTATTTAAATTGCACTTCTGATAGCAATCTCTCGCGGCTACCAGATAATACCAAATAATCAAGTGATGACTAAGTGTGATTTTCAGAAGCGTGAGGAATAATATCCTTAAAAATAAATTTAAAAATTCTGCTAGTAGTATCATGATAGCTCTTTGCTTATCAGGTTAAAACCAACTAGGAGAAACTGAGAATGTAGTAATTTACGTAAAGCCGATAACACATTCTCCCCCTAAGAGGACATGTAGTCATAAATCAGCAAGTGCAAATAAGCTTACGTATACTGCCAAACAGAAATAGGTATGGATAAACTATCGAAAAAAGAAGGGTATAAAAAATAATAGTGACGATTAAAAGAAGCCTTCCTCATGATTTCACCTTTCGAGCATCGCAGGTGGGGCTGCAGATTCTAAAGAGGCAAACAGCGAAAGAGCAGATGGTGTTGTTGCCGCTGCTAGTAGTTCGTCACCAAGATGCCGCATTTGGTGGCCGGTACCGCCAGCCCCGACAGTAAATGAAGCTAATTGACCACAACCTGAAATGTTAGCCTTTGATGTGTGTGGTAGGAAAAAGAGTTGTTGCTCCACATCAACAGCTGCTAGTGAGCGAGGGGTAAGCGAGGCGACATCATTAAGGCATACTCGTTGGTCTGAAATTCGACTATCCAGCTGGCTCCTGGTCAAAAGCTCGTCAAATGCAGACATGCGGCATGGAGACCCGGACTCTAGGCGGCTACGGCAACGACCCTGGCGATCGTAATGAGCGTGTTTTCGAGCGTGACGCCGCCGGCTTGGAAGATGTCCTCTGATGGAGCTATGCATAATATCAAAGAGGGCAGTTTCATCTTCGTCCTCCCTTGCCCGGTCTCCTAAACCTCCAGTCTCATCACCGGTAGAACCACGACCGCTGCTCTGGTCTTGATGGTCCTGTTTACCGAATGTGGCAATTACTTTATTCTGAACTCGAGAACTCCTAGAATTATCCACTGCTTGTGTGCATGCTGGACTCCGACGAGACTTATCTTGGTGGTGGTGATTGTGCTTTATTGACGAATCGATATCAGCTGCACTACTAGATAGCCGGTTGTCAATTTCAACCTCGAATTCTCGACTTGATGTTATTGAAGCTGAATCGGAATCAGATCTATCGCGACCCGACTCACCCTGTTCTATGTCGACGTCAGCTAACCGTCGATGACGGTGGTCACTGAAATCTCGGCATCGAGCTAAATGAAGTCTCTGTAAGACTCGAGTATGAGAACGTGGTGAGGCACAGTTACGGGATAGGCGGCGTCGGCGAGGTGGATCACCATGAGAGTTTATATATTCACGACGAGATAACTTGGTAAGACCATTATTTTCAGGAGATTCCGAATCTGTAAGGCTATCACATGATGCAAAGGGAGAAGAATGGGAAATAGAGGAAGTCCTATTCTTTCGTCTTGAAGTCGAATCAGGTCTGTCGTGGAAATTTTCCGAGCCATCGTCACTCGCCTCTTCGTCGTTATCTTCTTCGTACTCCTCTTCTTCATCGTCATCGTCTTTCGCCTCACCTTCTTCTAGAGATGAATCACTGTCTGCCTTTCCGAAGGTCGCGTTTGTCGAAACGCCAGAAGTTCCAACGATGTTGACCGAGCTGCTCGAACAGGTTAGGTCGGTCTGAGGAGGAAGAGGTATCGCCTCACCTGGAAATATTAATATTTAATAATATAATTAGCCTTCAGAATTCAATTATATATCCATTATTTTTTTCAGCAAACTCATAAATATATCTAGCTGAATAGATAGATAATTGAACCATTACTCTTCTCATAACTTGTATCTTCATCATCCCTTCAATTTTTTCTGCCTTACCCGTGGCAAATTTCCCTCCTTTCGTTGCCGTCTGACAGACAAGATTCCGCTCCTCAGCTTCGGTGCCCCCACGAGCACCATTCGGACTTGAAAATTCTGCAATGACCTTAGGAGATCCCGTTTTCGACCATTGCTTTTGACCACCTTGCTTCTCCTCGTCCAGCCTGCACTTCTTCTTTGGTCCAGTAGTATCATCTGGCCGATGAAATCCTGGTGAATGAGATGCATCATTGGTGGAGTTATGAATAACAGCATCGTTAGTCACTGTTCGAGGTTGATGATGCCCTTTCAGATTCATAACACGCGAAATCTCCCCTTCCCGCTGCTCCTTCACATCTAACTCTTCGTCATCCGACGAGACAGGATACATGTCCTGGCCGTCTACGCTGGCAGTCACGACAGGGCGATGGATGTCACCAGCCTCTAGCTCATATCGGTGGCGAGGAAGTCCAGGAGTTTCATGGCTCCCAGATCCACTGCTACTGCTAGCTGCTTCTTGAGCTGAGAAAGCCTTGCGTTGGCCAGAGGTGCGATAACGTCGTGTTGAAGGAGATGAAGGGACGGCAAAGAATGCAGATGAAGAGGTTGCTGGGTGATTGCAGATGTTAACAACCCGAGACAAAGGAGATGCACGGCCTGTAGATACGCCTAGCCCAGAGGCACTCTTTAAAGTGCTTATCATTTTATTAGGAGAAACCGCCTCAGAGTCACAAGATAGGAACACTGAAATTAGGCATAATAAAATATAAAGTGAAAGATAATAATTAAGAATATATACATTCGTTTGCAAAGCAACATAGATAGGTAGTTAAATAAGCTTTAGATAATGTCAAATGTACTTAATATAAAGAAGAAGAGAAATAGTATTAGGGAGCTTAGCTAGTCTAGGCTAAAAAATAAATCAAAATTTTCAAAATAAAATTAACAGATCAAATAAGACAGTGGTTCCCAAACTTTTTCTAGTCGCAGCGCCATTTTCAATTAAAATGTTTCCATGCCGCCCTACCCTAAGTATGACTATTCGTAAGTAAGAGATAAAAATAAATAAAACTCGTGTAT